ATATCCTGATGTAATAAAAATGATGCATGACTAGGAATAGTAACTGATAAATGTGTGCCTTTAAGCATGACATATAGATACACAACTGCATGACCCTAAATCTAAGACTCGAACTAGGTGTCTGATAATATGGTAGAGTAATGAGATGTCAAGTGAGTGTGAGGAAAATTTGAATAGTCCACTATTTGTACTGAGCTAGAACTTGCCTGGTTAATCCTGCTAAAGGTAAGCCATAATAGACAATTAGGAAAGGATCATAGGCCCTTGTTCAATATAGCCAATCTTTAGCCTAAATAATAGAAAGCCAAATGAAATTTATCCCTTTTTGATCCAAATGATTTGAGCTTGAAATAGACCTTTCTTTTTCACCCCAACTGATCTTTTCTGGGAACAATGTGTTGGCTTGGTCCTTCCATGTACATGTGCACCTCAGCTTATGCCAAAACATTAGTTGAGGGTGACTAATGCAGAAAACAACTTTGTCGTTGCCCTGATCCAACTTTGGGTATTGTGTACTTTGACTCATGGCAAAGTCATGAATTGAGGGTGGCTATTATGAAGAATGATCTGGAAAGTAGGGTTGAAAGAACAATGAGAGAAAAAGAACAAAAGAAAAGTGAAAAAAATAATAATAAATACAAGCAAGAAAAGAAAAGAGTTACTTACACAAAAGAAGAAAGCAGAAAAATAGCAAGGTGAAAGAATATAAGAAAAAAGGTAGAATAAAACGATGAAAAGCTAGGACTCTTAACCGATATGTCAAGAAGGGAAAAAGTCATTAAAATATACCTAAATATACCCTAACTGATCCTGAGCCTCTGTTACAAGCTATGAAAGTCCTATTGTGATCCTAAGAGATGTTATGGAGAACTTAAAGTAGTGAAAATAAGGGCAAGCCAATGGCAATATGTATAAATGAGTTGTGAAGTTGTTCTAAGAGCGAGTGAGGACACTAGTTGCAATACCATAAAAATTAGCACCTAGGTGAGAGATCGAAGAGGATAGGTTTCAGGTTGTGGTGAGTCTGTGTCATGGTCTGATCCACATAATTTAAGCCTAATAGTGATACCATGCATGAACATAATGACAATAATCAGGATTAATAGCCAAATGATTGCGAAAGCTAAAAGAGGGATACTCTTGTACAAAGATTTTGCAGTGAGTAATAGTGCGTCGCTTGAGGACAAACAAGGAATTTAAGTTGAGGGTGTTGATATATCATGGTTTCACGGTACTTTCAATGTCTTTTCCTTAAGTTTAGTGTGTGTCTAAAGCCTTTTTGTATTGATTTTTGATGTAGGTTTCTCTTTATTTGCAGGAAATCAGTCCAAAGGAAAACGCGGAGGATAAGAGCAGAAATTGCAAAAAGTGACCACACGGAGCCCACGACAGTCCGTCATGACTATGACGGTCCGCAGGTGGCACCGTAGTGAGATGTAAATGGCTGCTGAAGGAAGTTGGGGAAGTCTGACCAAGTGTGGGACTACAGAATCTCATTAAGGACCGTAATAGCCATGACGGTCTGTCCTGCATATTCGTCGTGGTTGTCAGAGAGTAGTTCCAGTACTCAATTTCAAGAAGTTTCCATGTGTTGTGGAACAAAAATCCTCGACGGACCGTCGTGCTTGCAACGGTCTGTCATATCTGTCCGTTGAGGGTAACAGCGAGTTGACGAAGAAAGCAGCAGAAAATTATGCCCAAGTATGGAATGACAGAGTTCATGACAGTCCGTCGTTTCCATGACGGTCCGTTGCAGGGATCGTCGATTCAAACGTATTTTGGACAGATTTGACTTAAATAGTCCTTCTTTCATTAGGTTTTATTTTATTACAAATAGTTCTAAAAACCTCATTTTTTGGGTTAAACTTTTGGATATTTTTTAGTTCTCTTGTTTAAGTATGAACTCTTGATTTTGGTATTTGATCATACTTTTCCAAAATCAATACGTTGGTGTTTTTGTGAATTTTTCAAGTGAATTTCTGGATTTTCTTCAATGTCATAAAATTCAGTGCATGAATTATTATATTATCAATATGAATTGTGTGTCAGCATGGGTAACTAAACTCCATAACTAGGGTTGTGGGAACCATGGGTAAATAACAATGTAAAATCTAGCTATAATAACAATTCTAGAATAGTGTCTTGCATGTATTGCTAATTCTTTTGCTTAGAAGTCTTCTTAATGGATGGCTAACGTTAGAACTCGCCTTATTGCTACTTTGTGGACCAAGGAGGTAGATAATAGGAATAGAATTATCAACATAGATTTAGTGTATACTATCTAATAGGCTAGTGACGGTTGGTACGAAGTAACAACTTAGTCAAATATCAAATATGATGCTTAATATGAGGTAAAGATAAGGTTTATTAAAGCCACACACGTAGCCGTAACAAGGTGCGGAGTGAGATTTTCTTGATGACAGACCAACGATTTAGAGATACCTAACTTATCACTTTGCATGCAAGATAGTAGGAAAGGATTGTTATAGCTAGAATTACCGAGTTAGGAGACTGTGGCGAACACTTAGGCCCTAGTTACTCTCATTACTTGATTAAAATCCAATACTTGAACCTGTCATTTATTTACTTTAATTTAGCTAATTGCTTTTATTAATCAAAAGGTCCTTTACTTATTTGTTTTTTGGAAAATAATTGACTAAATAGAACTAATAATAGAATAAAGTTAAGTCTGAACCATTTTTCTCGTGGGAACGATTCCAACCTCACTAGTTGGGTTCTTTACTTGATGTGACCGCTTTTACTTCTTTTTTAGAAGTAAATTTGAGCGTATCACTCAACAACTTAAGATTACAAATCTGTGTAACCTAAGAAATTGTAAATTGTAATTCCTAACAACACAAAACCTCTCATGGTATTTGTTCCCAAGTTTTCAAGTTACCTCTACTTGAAGACAACGCTCTTAATTAATATAGCTCATTGAACTAAGATCCATCAATATGAAAACTCGATGAAAAAAACCTAATATATAGATTATGTAATAGGACTTGATTCTTTAATGTGTTCCTTCAATATTCTGGTCGCACTTGTGAAGTCAATTTTTCAATTGTCTTTTTGTTGTGTAAGTGTGATGCCTTCTCCATTCTGACATGCCATCTGGTAATGTACACATCCAATTTCTAAAGCATGATTTTCTAACTGATCTGCCTAGCAAGTATAATTCATGAGTTGTGTTTATATAAGCTAGGGTTTTGAATTCTATACATGCAAATTACATTAAATCACCGAGAATCGTGTTATTTAGATCATAGGAACTCTAACTATTAAAATCATAATAAATCTTCAAACTCTGTAACCTAGGTATGAATAGCTATTAAGGAATCGAAGAGCTGACTGAATTCTAGGAACCTAATGGATGAAAGGAACCCACTAGTGAAACCCCACATACTTGGTGATAGAATCAATGGAGAAATTCTTTAAATTTTGGGACTGAAACATGAAGAACACATCTGCTTGTTCTTGAAACAATTGACGCCTCTTTCTTTTCTTTTTGCTCTAAATTTTTGTGATTTTTGGAGAAGGAGGTTTTTCGGTATAATCTTACTAGATTATAAGGTTTAGATTGAGTAAAATGACGTAGTTTAACTGTTAAACAACGTAGTTTAAATGCCCAATGCATAGAGAAAAGACCAAAATTACCCTGACTTAAAAGCCGACGAGGGCCATCAACGAGGGCCTATGACGGACCGTTGTTGGGATCACGACCCTTTAACTGGGTCGTGGTTCTTGGCCAGTGCTGCTGTTTTTGGTACGTTCATCCACTGTCCACTTCACGGACCGTGAGAGGACCATGGGTCGTGAAAGCCTTTGTGGTTCTTCACTTATGGCTAATGGTGTGTTGGGTAAGTTGACAGTACCATCCACGGCTCATCAATAGGACCCCGACCCGTCGAGTGGGTCGTGATTCAACACTTGGGCCCAGGTGGCTCTTCCTAAAGATCACGGCCCACCCATACAACTTGTGTGGGGTTCCATGATCCGTGGAGGGGCTCGTGGTCCTCCACGTTTGACTGGTCCACCCTTTTTTCTATTGTTTTATCTAAGTTAGGTCCTACATAAAAGTAAATACTTTATATATAAAATAAATTATATTTATAATGTCGTGTTGGTTTGGTTTCGGGCTGACTTTTTTTAGTCGAAACCAAACCAAACCAACCCAAGTAAAGTCAATTTTTTCCAATACCGAACCAACAGTTTTTTTCGTTTTGATTTGATTTACGATTCGATTTTGTAAGCCACTAATTAAAAGGTAAAAAAATGAAAAAAGGGTAAAAATTGATTATATTTTTGACTTTCAATTGTTTCAAATTCAACATTACATGAGATATTTTAAAATTTGTCAGCTCTGTATAAGAGGCATTTACTTTAAATTTACATGGTAGGTGTTAAATTTATACTATTATAATAGTAGTAAATAGTTGCATTATGCATTGTATCATCATAGGTGCCAGGTTACATACATTATTCATTTAAAATCATGACCACAAGACAAATTCCTCTCCTATTAAAGAACAGTGAAACTATTGTTATAACATTTATTTTGTGAAAATTTCAATCGATATGACTTGGGAATGACCATTAAATGTTGAGCTCTAGCTAATACTAAATCAAATTTCTTAGTCATGTCAACATCTTTTGGTATTATACCATTTGGTAACTCCCAATCGCTAAAAAATCGTGAGCCCTAGCTGCATAACGGGGCAACTTCTTCTGCCAGATCCAAATGGTAAAAGTTGAAAATCATGTCCCCTAAGATCAATGTTGCATTCCAAAAATCTCTCTAGTTTGAAGTTCTCTGGCTCAGGCCAAACATTTGGATCTCTCCCAATTGCCCAAACATTGATTAATAGTCAGAATTCTTTATGTATATGAAAATCATCAACCTTGCAATCTTCAACTGATTCGTGAGGAATTAATAGTGGCGCCACTAGATGAAGCCTAAAACCTTCTTTTATGACCATATCTAAGTACTCTAGACTTCCTTAATCCATATCTTCCACCATCCTGTTTCTCCCGACTACTCGTTCTATATCGTTTTGATGTTTTTTCATTACATCAGGGTGCCTTAGAACTTCTGATAAAATCCATTCAACTGTTGTTGATGAAGTATCCGTTGATGCCACCAACAAGTCCTATATGTGGAATATTACAATTACAAATCTTTATGCTGATAAATCGGTTACAATAACTATACTAAAAACCTAAAATTATTTTATGATTTGACCAATTGACCAACCTATTGAACTATTGAGAGAGAATTTCTCTCTAAACAGAAATCTTTAAACTACTTTTTGTTACTACAAAATTACTCAACTTATAGATGATCTCTCCGAAAAATAGTTACTAGTTATGTTCCGTAAGATTACATAAGTGAAAGAGTAGTACAGTTAGAGTAGTAAATTGCCAGCAAAATGGCTTTGACATGATGATGATTAAACTCGAATACAGCTTCATTAGAGTTCATAATGCCCATAAGTTTATCAACAATATCCTTAGCTTGATTTTGTTCATTGACTTTATGAAGGTGCTCGTTGATAACTCTCTCCAGAAACTCATCGAAAGGCTTAGATAATTCCTTCATACGACGAGACAATCCTTGGAGATCAAACACACCAAGAAAGGGAATATAATCACCAAGGTTTGGCCTTGCTGCTATAAACATCGTTTCTTTAACCAATTCATTTAAACCAAGATCCTCATCCATGTATTTCTTCCCAAATATCATCAAACAAGACATGTTTGCACTAAGAGATGATATTTTATCAGTAAGATCAACCACAACACCGCGATGCTATTTGAGGAAATCGACAAGAATTCCAAGCTCTTGTTTCCTCATAGACTGAAATGAATGAATCTTGGCATTGCTAAGCAATTGTAGAGTGCACAATTTAGCATGTTTCGCCAATAAGGTCCATACTTGCTAGACATAATATTTCTCTGATCATAGAAAATGTATTGAGAAACCTTACTATATGTTCTACTAGCAAAAACAAGATCATGGTTCTTCAAGAATTGTTGTGCAGCATAAGGAGATGAAGCAACAATGGTAGGAACAAGACCGAAACGCATAGACATTATAGGGCCATATTTTTTTAGATACTTTATGAAGATCATGGTGAATATTCTTGCCTACCATATGAAGTTTACCAATAAGTGGAAGCCCTCTTGGTCCTGGAGGAAATTTCTTCTTTTTCTTCCATATTAATTCTTGAACAAGATAAGTAAACAATGCAACTAACACAAGAGCTAGCCACATAGAATAAGCCATCCTCCTTTTTTTCTTAATAATGTATACTTCCTTCCTCACAGTAATATATACACATTTACCAACATGGGGTTGTGGTGCACTGGTGGGAGTGTTTCATCATTGACAAGAGAATTCAAGTTTGAGCCCTAACTATGGAGAAACTCTTGTTGGGAGTGCCAACTCCGAATAGGCCCTGCAGTTCGTGATCTAGATTTAGTCGGAGCTCCAATGTAGACTCTCATCGAATGGGAAACAAAAAAAATTAGACATTTCATTGAATAGAAAATTTAAGATATACAATTTAGAAATTTAATCGTTTGTAACTATTAAATCATGTCATTAACCAAAAAAGGAAAAAAGTTCAAGTTAAATTACTTTTAAATATAAAATGTATTTTTTAAAAATAGTAAAATAAAATAAAATGGTCCGTTTATTACATTTAACATGGAAATGTAATGAAAATGAGTCAAAATCTCATTTGGTCTTCATAGTTAATATTACATATATTGACTTTGCTAACCAAGTAATTTCAACATTGTTAAGAGTTTGGGAGTACTAAAAGAGAGGTTATTTCGGATTAAGGGAGGCCGAACTCACAACACTAGCGTTTCATAGTCAATGTGTTACCACTTAATCAAGTTCATAAGTTAATATACATATATATTTATTCAATTTTCTAGTAAAAATACCAAGTTTACGAAAAACTAGTGGGTCCATCTGAATCATGAATCCCGCCTAGTTTCGCCTCTGTTGAATGGTTTACTTTTCTCATAATTATATTAACACGTACATACCAAAAAAAGTTTTAAATGTTAGCAACATTAAGTGTTATTAGGTACTAACTATATCCGTATTCCTAGCATAGGTTCAGCTATCTGTTGAAGTTTTTGCCAGTATATGATTACATTACATCAACATTTTAATTTAAAAGATTAATGTAATTATTTGGACTAACTTATAGTAAGTTTTTTTTCTTTCTTTTGATTTTTTACGTTCCAATCCATATTTTATAAAGATTGATTTGTGATTTTTGTTGTTTAAACAACTAACAATAATTCTTCTATAATTTAGTACGTTAAATATACTTTCTCTGTTTCAAATCTAGTTTTCTTTTTAGTTTAAAAGAAATTTTGATACATTTAACATAACTTTAATTTAGAACCGATAAAAAAATGTTCTTTCTATTCATAAACTTTGTTTCAAGTCAAATTAGACCATTCTTTTTTAAACGGCGAGATTCATTATCGAACTACGACTAACAACTGTTAAATTGAATAGAGCCACAGATCACACTAAATTAGTGCGCTATATACCCTACAAGTTACTTTTTTAAGGTTTAGATTAAGTGTTTTACTTATAGGATTTAAGGTTTGTTATAGTTGGTAGTTTATTCACCCATTTTATTTTAGGTTGATTACTGAAAAGACAATTATCAATTAGTTGTTTTAAGCAATACAACTATTGAATTGCAAAACTTTTCAAGTTGGTGCATAATTATGTTTCGAATATGTGAATTTTTTTTTACTTTTTACTGTTAGAAATTGATACATATATATAATTGTTTCATATAATTGGTAATATATTATCCAATAATAATTATCAATTAATAGACAAATACAAAACTGACACATTAGCCCAAAAGTAATAAGATTTGCATTTTTAAAATTATTTTTTAAAATAATAAAAGATTATGTTATTTTTCTTGTGATTTCCAACAATTTCTCTGGCAAAAGATTATTTAGAATTATCCCTCTCCTTTTATATTATAATTTTTAAATCATAAAAAGTTTTAACATTATCTCTCTGCTAACTTCTAACTGAAAAGGATACATAGTACTTAATATGTTTGAATCATATATGTAGTTAGTTTCTCTTGTAATTAGGTTTCTTATGTTCAACTAACTCCACTACTAAAAAACTATCAAAAAGAGACGTAGTCCCTCGCTTTTAGGCCAAAAGCGATGAAAATGCAATGCTCTACGTCCGTCACTTTTTGGCTAGACGCTTTTTCAAAAGCGATGGACTGCGTCGCAATTCAATTTTTTTTAATCAAAAGTGATTGACTTCATCTCTATATATTTATTAATTTTTTTAATTTCCAAAAGGCGACGTAGTCCGTCGCTTTTGTGGAAATTTGATTTTTGAAAATCTCAGAAAAGTGACAGACAAAAGGACAAATTATTTTTTTCATTAATTCCAAGAAACTGACGGACTAAACCACACTGTCCGTTGCTTTTTCTGCAATTTTTTTTTACAGTAGAAATTGTGCACCTGCAAATTCAATTCAATTCAATTGATCTATACTATTCAGACTAATCAAACACACACAATTATATAAACAATCTACCCCACATAAAATAAGAAACTTAAAATAACATTCGAAAGTATCAAACTATAAATTTAAAGACTTATAAAGTCTTTCAAAATTTTTTTCAAAATATGTCTCTAATTGACAAAAAAATCATAAAGGACCACTGATGTAAATTAGGGAGTGGCTCCTACATAATCATCCTCATTATCTGAATTGTCTTCATAGGTATCATCGGGAGCCGAAGTAGTAGATCCACGAGTGAGATTCATCACTTGTTCTTTGATTTGCTGAACGGTCGCGCTCATGCTTTCTTGTTCAGCTACTCTTTTATGCCAGTGTTGTTGTAAATTTAGCTATTTGATTCGACATAGCAGCAATCTAAACATCGTCAAGTGCTTCGGCTTGACTTGATGATCCAATTCATTCTAATCCTAACTAGAGTTGTCTTACATTGTTTCGAGAACCTAGACCATAGACTCTACTCTTGTGTGTCCTCCCTACCACTTTTTCTATCCAAATCTAGGTAGAAAGTCCAGGTGTCGATTGGACCGAACTATCTAAATTCTCAGCGACGTAATTCTGAAACTCATTCTGCATATTAAATATAAAAATTAACATTAACGTATATAGATATCATAAATATATTCACTATTAATATACATTATTCATATTATATAGCTTACAAAAGTTTGTTCATCTCTTTCCTCCACCCAGACATCCGAATCCGACTCATTTTCTTTCTTCTTGACATGAGTCTTCTTGAAAACCTCCAGTGGAATGGAAGTGCGTCCCAATTCTTTTTCCTATGAATAAAAAAATGATATTTATAACGATATATATGAATCAAATAATTATTTATTTAAAAGATTGAATTATAACTTACCATCTCTCTTGCAATTGTTCCAACTAACATTGCACCTCCGGTCAGCAAAGAGCCACCCTTAAGACTGCCTCCAACCTTTTTGGTTTGATCTAATACTACCTTAAACTTGTCTGTGTTCCAATATACACCCAATTCATCATAAACATGTTGCAACATTCAATTTGGACGTTTATTATCATCCCGAACTTTATTTAGCCAAGCAAATAGTCTGGCAGATGCTTTCCCCTCAAATGTGGTCGAAATGACTTGATTGTATCTTGTCCCAAGTACACATAGTCTGAATGAAAAAATTGAATACGTCAATTAGATCGATAAAAAAAAGAGTAAAGTATAATAAACTTAACTAAAAAATATATGTCTTTAAATTACTAAACATGGTCTGGCGTATATTGTTTAGGATCTCACCCCAAGAGTGATAACCATATGTATAGAGTCTTCTAACACCTTCTTTTAAAGCCCCGATAACATTCTTAGTCGGATGCCACATGCAAAACACATAATAAGTATGTTAGTTCATGAATAATATATTAAAGTATAAGAAAAAAAGAACATAAACTAACAAATAGATAATAAAACAAACTTATGATGATCCATCTAGCTCTATCATGACACTACCAAGTCTGGTCTTCTAGCCAGAAACTAGAGGAACCATCTCATCATCTAGAGTAGCACTAGGCATAACTGTAGCTATAGCTGAGCGTGATACATGAGGATGCTCATAAAGCTAAGTCAATTAAGGCGTACCGGACATAGCATCAGACTGCTTGCTACTACTATCTCTAATCCTCATGGAAGATAACTGAGTAAATATACTCTTGGGAGTTGAAGTACATATGGGAGATTGATTGCCTACCGATAAGGGTCATCCTCGATGAGTAGTCTATAAAGGTAGGTCCTCATAACGTATTGAAGGAAATACATGTGAAGTAGAGGAAGCATCGACTGATCAACGGTAATTAGGATAATATGTCCGAGGATCCGTCATACCAGACGAAACAGAAAGTATATGTGTATCATGGTTGATGCGCCATGGAATAAAAGAAATAGATCCCACAATATCCTCAGGATCTATCGGTCTCTTGGACTTCTTCTTTTTAGCCTTTTTAGTCCGACTAACTACAAGATGCTCGCAATGTCTATCGTTATCATCCCATTCTTCATCATCAAGTGATTCATTTTCCTCATTCTCAGACATTTCTTCCTTAACATTCAATATCTCATCATCAGACTCTTCTTATAATATGTGTTGAGGATGTGGTAGTGTGGTTTCCAATTCAACATCAATTTATTGTTGAACAATCGCAACATCATTTTGATATGCCACATCTAAGACATTGTAAAATTTCAATTCTTCCTGCAAGATTACTTTTTATAACAATCCACCAATCAGCTTTGTCTTTACGTAATGAATATGAAGTTCGCATTTTGTACAATGATAAAAGGATCATAACTTCTTAACATCAATTATATTATGTCGATGGTCCATCTTTGCGCATCTATATTATGGGTAAAATCACTCACACCGAAATAATACAATCTTCTTCTTAGAACAACCTGAACCTCACTTCAATAATCTCATGAATGATACCATAATATTAAATAGTTTGGCAGTACCATCAACATCACCTTGTATG